CATTCACATTTAAGAAACAAAGTTTATTTTTGTTTTGATCGCGCGGAGAAGTTTTGTGGAAATCAATTTATTTATTTTATCTGTCAACAATAACAGATGACAGATTAATACGTGTGTAAATGTAGTTACGAGCCTGAGGGCGCGAATTCTACGCAATATTATTGGCAAACTTTGATCACTTATAACTCAAAAACTATTGTAGCCTCGATATTTCTGTATTAAGATTTTTTACTCCATTTTGCCTCTAGAATACGCTATTAAAATATTGTACGGAGGTTGTGAAACACTCTAAATATATATATATATATATATATATATATCAATAGTAACTCAATTGCCTCTTCGGATCTCTGTCTGTCTATACAGTCGATCATTAAAAAAACAAAACATACTGCTCTCTATATGACGTGTCATATAATTACGAATTATCACTAACAATAAGTAACTAAACATGGAACATAAAGAATACATAGATCGGTTTGTTAAACGTACATTCCTACAGTTATTCTATGAGGTAAGATAGAGCATTAGAGATTATTATTTTTTACGTAATAATTTCTCCTATTTGCAGCAAAATCACTTTCAAAATCGCTTTTAGCGTTACATATCTATGAAATTTTTAAAGAACATTGTACAATACACAAACTACTCTCAAGTAATATATTTTAGTAAAAAAATGTTTGTACATATTTACAAATGCATACAATAAACAGTTCTTACTATTTGAAATATTATAAAATGATAAATATACAGTAAATTACCAGTCTGACCAATATTGAGCTGAAGTTTATTGCGTTAGAATATAATAAATGACCAATCTTTTTAATAGCACATTTTTTAGTTAATAAAAGTTCTTTTTTTTATAAAAATTAATTTCATGCATTTAGTTTACAATTTTAATTTTAATTTAATTTTTATTATTCAAATAGTATTTGTGAATATGTAGACCTCATTAAAGGCTATCTGCAATGTTAAATAAATTCGATCATTCCCATATGAAAGAATGACAGGTTCTTTGCTTATTTATTTAAAAATGTTTAATATATACTACAAAAACAAATGATATAATCTCTAAAAACTTACTTTTTCAAAAAAAGGTAAAAGAAAGGCGTCAAGTGCACGCGCCATGTGAAAAAGTGTTACACAAAAAATAGTGTTATTTTTAAATATTTCTTTTATTATTATCTTAATAAAAACATTTTAACTAAAAATACTGTTATATAAAGTAGTTGTTTTAATCCCCTTGAAAAATAATGATATCAAAAAATTGCGCCACCACGCTCCGGCGCATCCTCGCCTTCGCCGGACGCCAAACGCCACAGCTCAGGCGCAGTCTCCCCTTCGCCCGGCGTCAAGCGCCCACGCTCCGGCGCATCCTCGCCTTCGGCTGGCGGCAAACGCCCACGCTCCGGCGCATCCCTGCCTTCGCCTGGTGCCAAACGCCACATCTCAGGCGCCGTCTCGCCATCGCATAGCGTCAAGCGCTCCGGCTCGGGCGCATCTTCTACGCTACCTAACGCACCACGCCGCAGTTCCCATCCAGGGTGTATCGACGCAGAAGCAACGAGGCAGCGGAGCAAGGGAGAAGCAAGATTGGAGTTTTCGCCAACGACTGGAGAAGCGACAGAACGACGACCGGCCTCGCCCATAATCCTTTCGTCGTCCGACGAGAGTCACGGGCGACCAAAGACGCCTCAGCCGAGAGAGCCTTCTGGCGGATTCCGTGGTGGTTACCTACCTGGACTCCTCCAGCATACCGATCAGTGGAGACGCAAACTGAGGAGCTCCCAGCTAAGGGTACACAGGGGACCCAGACTCAAGGGCGCTCAACAGGGTGTCGAGATCAAGCGACGCAAACGCGGAAACGAGGAGGCCAACAGCGATACGTTCCGATAGATTATTTTTCGCGCCAATACTATCGCATGTAACATCTAACGAAAATATATACAGAATGTTATGTTATAAAAACCATCAACTTTATTGACAAAAACCTCACGAGTCACTTTCCGTTCCTACCTCCATAGCGATCACTAGATAGTAGTAGATACGAAAAACACTACAAAAACATGTCTTATATTTATTTGTGTTGTTTATTTATGGCAATCACTTATCCGCATTTATTGCTGTTTAGAAACATAGTCAATAATTACATTTACTTATTTCTACCGTACGATTATTTCACAAACGATTTTCTAGGCAAACGGAAAAATGCACCTTTATAATATACAAAAAATAGTAAAAAACCTAATAATCCACATATAATATACATTTATTTTATATAAAAATTGCATTCTACTGTAAAAAAAATTGAATTTTGAAAAAAAAGTCATTGGGATTCGAACCAGCAACGTCGACACTACGAATCTGGCACGCTGCCGCTGTGCCACATGCTCTTCGGTTAAACGCTCTATTCCATTCGTTCATAAGGCGCTCACAATTTTTTAATTTCGATTTTCTCGTGAACGCTTGAGAGTTGCATCTAATCCCTTTATCCAATATCACTTGACATGAACACCTACCGATACAGCGAGTTTCGTTGAAATCGGTTGGTACCACGCCGTGAAGCCTTTTGTAAGTGCACAATTGTAATATACGCACATCTAACGTTTTGGGATAATTTTATTCAAACAAAAATTAAAGATAATAAATATAAAGAAAAACAGGCAATATGAGCCAGCACGGTGTGCAAAGCGCAAAAATGAGTAATAGTAATTATAATTAACGCACGCAA